GTTAACCCGGTCGTAATTTTCCAAAAAAAAAAAAAAAAAAAAAAAAAAAAGTATCTCGTTGCAAGATCCACCTCCAGGTTCGGGTGGACACAATAGACTCGCATCTTCTCCCAGTTCGTGTCGGCCTATCGAGGTTATCGGAGAGCGCCTCGTAAATTCACGGGCCGACACAGCCTCCGACCGACGGACGGACCCTGGTATTTCGCAGTCCCCGTGTCCGCGATCGCGCGATCCCACTGGGTCCCTCTTCCAGAGAGGACCCTCGAGACAGCCATATATCCCAGGACCCTACAGTCCTACACACCGTCCACATACCAGACCCGGACACTTACAACCAGCGCACTCCGGAACGGGGTTTGCGACGCGTTAAATCATCCGGAAGGATTCCAATGGTGGATCCTCGGTAGGCGTCCCTGAGGATCTGTTCAAGGATAAGTACCGTCTAGGTGTTATCCTATCGAATCCTTTTTATGGTCAGGTACGACCAAGGCGGGATTAAGGACGCATTGCGCGTGCCGTATGTTAACTCCTAGCACCGAGGCATCCACCGGACAGGTCGTCGTCAGTGCCGGAGCAGTGGTATGTTTCCTGCATCAGAATTCTACGAACTGCCGTACCGAGATGGTCGCGTCTCACCAGGAACAAAAGAAAAGCATCCCTGCATCCCTCGTTACCTAACCGACCTTCGGGTACTATACGTGACACAGTATACGTATAGTGGGCACTGCTATAGGATACCACAGTAGGGACCTGTGCATACTGACCTTTGTCGATGATTCTGACTGCCGTCCTGTGTCTCGTTCAATGAGTGTCTTCTGCGATCGCGATTACGTCTCTTTATGGTTTTGCCTTCGCTGCCGTAGATGGGTCCACCTCTGGTAATTGTACCGATAAAAGGAGCACGCGGTGAGCCGCTGTGCGATTTATCATGAAAATTCGCACTGTTCGATCTGGGACGACTGTGAAGACCAGGCTGAACGTGCTTGCGTACGTTATGACAGTGCCTTCCATGTTCCCTCGGTAGGCTACAGTAAAGATTCTGAGAGGCGTACGTCACCCTGGTCAGGCTCTTGTCGGCACTTCCGGTTCTCTTCGCCGGAAGGGGCACGCTCACGTCGTGACTACCCCTGGAACCACCTCCCAGATGCTCTCGTAACCATTTTCCCAAACCGCCCACGCCGCCTCCGCCATTGCCACCCTCGTTGTTGCTCGAGGTACTCTCCGATGATTTACTCCTGGAACGAAGAAGAGTTCTAGGTTATCGACGGTCTTTTCCCAAGGATAGCTGGAAGACATAATACGAGGGTATTACTGATGGAGGCGGTGAATAACGCGTGGAAACGGTGCGGGTCTCGATTTCGCCGTGAAGGAACGAGAAGGCGCGTCCAGAAAAAAAGTACGGCAAGTCCGCTGAATGGCACATGGCTCCGGGGAATCAGGACGAATGGTTAATAAAGGGCTCGCTGAGACGAGAAGGGTCGCTTGGGTAGTTAGGACTCGGTGACCTTGCCAAGGTTAGTTGTAGTTCTGGCCACGGCCGCCGCGAGACGCCACCTTATGTTCGCCACTCGATGCTTCGGGCTCTGCACAGCTCCTTGACCACCGAGTTCCTTCTGTCGTTCTTCCTTATCGGTAATACCTTGAATCGCCCGATACTTGAGTCGAATAAAATTTTTCAAAATCATACCAAAGCAGTGCCGAAGAAGAATAAGAGCTTTCGACATGGACGAAAAAATTTTACGAGATGCTACTCGACGTGCAAAGGGAAATAATTTTTAGACAGCCTGAGGATGCTGGACAATTTTAAAAATTACAAACGTCTTCCGCGATCACAATCCTCTGGCGAACCTTACTATTCAGACTGTTACGCCACTGTATAAAATTCCGGTTCTGCAAGCCCAACGGCCGTTCGGCGTGCTCTTATCTTTTCAGCTTTTCGTGCCGCTCCTTTTTGCACGGGACACAAGGAGCGGATCGACCGAAATGCGCGTGCATTATCGGGTTCGGCTTTTAGTCCTGATTGACCGCGTGCAACCACCTTCCATCCTGAAAATAGTATTATTATACCCCGAGGAATTCTCGTCCCCCCATTGAATAGCCCTTGGCTATAAAACCCAAGAAAATCACTCCTTTCCTCCAGAACACGCCGATTTAATTACTCGTAATGTCGAGCGGAGGTCTCCGCCATCCTGCCTCTGATATCCTCTCGGGCGTCCGTCGCCAAGTGGGATACTCGGCTCTAAACCCGTCCTACGCTTGGCGATACATTTGTATGCGCTCTGCTCGCTCTACCACGTCCAATTCTCTTTTTCTCCCATTTCGTTCCGTGGCATTCGTTATAGTTTATTTGGTGACGTTGCGTTGTTTGGAACTGAACGAAGGGAGCCACGAGCGGGGGCCTGCCGCGCAGTCTGCTGATGAAGAGCATTGTTCTGACACAGTAGCGTGGAGACGTCGACGTGCCGGCGCACAGTGCCCTTACCCACAGTGCAATACCAACTTCATTCCCAAGACGCATCCTAGTCCAGAAAGCGAATGCTACCTCGACGTGATACACAGTAGCGAACACGATTCCGGCACGGTACACGTAAACGGTACCAAACGGTCACCCGGTACATTTCCATGCACCGAGTTAAATTTTTAGCCAACACCCTATATACACGGTGCACCTTTTCGTGGCTGGACGGGCTCTGCACTTGGGCTGGTTCTCCTCCCTGCTTCTCCTTCTTGACCGTCACTCGGGGTTTTGTGAGTCTCGCTCTCCACACTACCGCTCTCTTGCTCCTCTTATTTCCCGTATCCATCTTATTTATTTTTCTCTCCTCTCAGCCTACTCTTGCCTCCTGTCCCCTATTACTCTCTGATTCGCCTCTTGGTTTCTCCGTGTCTATCTTATAAGCGTCGTGGATATTCCACGTAGTTTCCACGTACAGCCCTGACTTGCCTTTCCACGGGTATGTTCCTGTCCCGGCTGTCGGTTTGCATCCTTGCATCCTTGCATCCTCCTCCGCTTCTTCCTTTTTATTTATTTTTTTTTTTTTTTCTTTTCTTTCGTTCTCTCCTCCGCCACGACGCGGCGCGCGCTCTTACTGCCCATGCTGTATACAACGTACCACCACCTAGGACGTTTATGCTATCTTCTTGTACTATTACTTCTTGTTATTAATTTACGAGCCGTTAGAGTCGCCCGTCAGATGCCAGTTTCGCTATTGACTCCCGTTTTGCCTCATTGATTCTCATGTATTTCTCGAGTTTCCACCAAGTGTCTGCTCGAGATAAGGATTAACATTAATCCTGGCACTGACCACTTTATTTTTATTCCTTCCTACGGCTCTCAGACCCACGAGCGTCGCTAAAACTTTCGTACGTCCTGAACAGGATTCGGTACGAAGCAGCTCTTCAAAGTGAACGAGAGTGAAACTGCGTCAAGGATCAATATTGATCCTTCGATCTCAAAGGATCTTTCGGTAACCAGCCGCACTTTTGTCATGAGAAAACAAACTTTCCCCAAGGATCGTGCAAACAGTCCCGTATGCCCGATGCCAATAATGCAGGCATTATCATGAAGATGCATTGGTCAAATTTGCCAAATGTAATCAGACGGTTTCTTTGACCGTCTCAAAATGTCCGTTTGACCTTTCCTTTCTTATGGTCCATTCACACGTGACACCTGGTAACCTCAGAGATTGGACATTTTGCGAAATTACCATTTTATGGGTTCGTCCCAATCAGCCCTTTCTCGGGTCGCTGGACCCCGGGTTAAAATTTCGTTAGAACTCTCATCCGGGTAGAACCGTTTCTGTTCACGCATTAAGATCCATTTAGATAATCACGGAAGAGATCACGCGACTGCACGACCTGATCGTGGGCCGAGAATCTATAAGACGGTGACTGTACATGGCGAAGCCCGCAAAAAGGTATACTAGATCGTCATCGTCATCGGCCCTGATCGAGCCGGGGTCACGAAGGCGAGGTTTTGTTTAACGGTATTCCTCAGTCAGTCAGTCCCGTCCGTCCGTCCATCTGTCTGTAGGTCCGTCCGATGCTAATATCTCGACTGCACGATCGTTACGTCACTGAATCTCACGCTAACGATCCTCCTAGCAGCCTGCGATCGATCCTCATTTATCATCGCCATTTTATACGGCGAACCGATCAACGTGGGAAAACTTCGGAGCGCGACTCTTCATATTTCCTCGACTCCGTGTTACACGCAGGATATAACGTGCTGAACAATGCATACCCGTGGACAATGGAAGAAGAAAATTGTAGTTACAACGTAAATGCACCGGAGACGGCGTCTAGAAAAGTGCATAGCTCCAGTTGCCGGTGCATTGATCGCATTTGAATACCGCCTGTCCTTGACGAGTATTGTGCACCTTTTATTTCTTTCCCTTGCCTCGGCGTTCGCCCCATTTTTTCACTGTCCCCGTCTACCCTGGTACCACCCGGGGAACAGCATTGCTAGGAGAAAAAGAAAGCAATGAAAAAAAAAAATAATATGAAATCCTTACGATATACGAAAAAAAATACCTTCCCAACCGTGAAAAAGGGTATCGAATTTCATCGAGGGCTGAATAAAAATTCTTATAAAATAAAACGAGGCACAAATAAATAAAACACAAGGTCCATGTACGTCTTCTGGATAATCTCGTACTGGGGGCAGCGTAGTATCCATAATCGGCCGTATAAACAAACGCAGGGGTATTCTGGGTGGGATACCCGCATGCCGTCCAGACAAGTAGGTAGTTACAACGACAATCTATGTAAGTACATACGGTGTACGTAATATGTACCAGTATACATATATATATACAAATATATATAAAAATCAGATCCTGGCATTGTATTATATACCTCTAGCATATATAGTATATACACTATACGGCAAAGATAGGTACAGTACCTAGAGACATATAAACATATAATCCTTACGGGCCTGGGGTTAGCAAGGGGTGGCCGCTCGTGTATGGTACTGCTGATTGCGAGGCACATTGCTCGAGGCTACGCGGAACGTGGGCTCGTTATGGTTTCTCCAGCTCGATAATGTCCGATTGAAGTGATTCCGCCGTAAACCGTGAAATACGTAGCAATCATACGTCAGCGGATCGGCGCCTGAACGCTGGAGCCTATTGACGCGAAAGAACCGAGACACCCTGGTACTTCTTTCTGCTATGCTGATCGTCCTCGTTCACAAAGTCGGCAGGCGCAATCTCCCTCTTGGCAGCGTAGAACCCTAATTACGATTCCATGAAGCAAAGCAGTCCACCTCTTTTTCCCGATAGAGCTTCGCTCAGCCAAGCTTCCATATACCCACCCGTTCTATTGACCAGCGTTCCAGCAATTTTTTCACGTATGATACCCTGGTATCCGGAGTTCACGTTCGAGATACTACGAGGTAGGTGGATCCTGCGTAGCCGTATCCACCCTTTCGAGTCTTCATGGTCTACGCGTATAATGGCAAAGTATGAGCTCGGTCAGGCCCGTCTGGTAGGAAAAGGAGCTTCTTACGATCCCAGATTACCTGCGGAGCAGTCGTTCGTTTAGATGAAATTACTCGGTGACCTTAGGTATGGGGGTCGAACAGGAAACGCGGTCGCCGACGGATTACACAGGCGGCACAGTATGATATTCCGTTCCGAGTTCCAACCCCCTGGCGTCGCGATGCTCTCCTCGTGATAGCTCCTAATACTCCTGGCGAATAGGTGGATACCGAAGTACGTATCACAGGCGTGCAGGGTTATGTATACGTTAGAGAATAGGAAGGCTCGATAGCGAGCAGACCGACTAGCCTGCAATTGGCTCTGACCGTTAAGTAAACCCAATCCCGAAGGAGGTGGAGCATTAGAGAATCCTTCGTGTCGATTCGGTGAGACCTAATGCCAAGTTCACCGGCTCGTAATCGAACGGTGCTCCATTTCTCGTATCCGAGGACGCTCCTACGTATCCTTTCAGAGTGGGATCGGCCGGTGGAGCCGGGAGGAGTGGAGTTCATCAGGTCGGGTCACGACGCCTGCCCGATACCACACGAACTGATGCAACGGTTGTCAAGCTTTTTGACCGAGGCGAAAGCGCCATTAATACGACCGTTAGAGTAAGCCTCGTTTAGATGGATACTTGTCGATCGGACACCGTACAAACATATATACGCATATACCTCAGTCATTGCGCGTGTCCATATATTATACGATCGCGTATAGTTCATAAATCTCATACGAAATCGGATATGGGGAAATAACGCGAATTTTTTCTAAATATCATATTTACGACGGGCGGTACTGTGTACGTAGAAAGTAGTTAAATTCAAGCAAGACAAAATAGTCCCTCATCCGCTTTCGGCAATGCCGTTACGTAACTTCACGAAATCGTATTATAATTTGGCGGCTGCTTTTCTGTGTACGCGTATCGTTAACTGTAACGATATATATATATATATATATATATATATAATCACGACGTGGACGTATACCCTTGTCGATAAGTCATTGTCGAATACGGCAGTTGCGCGCATTCGTGAAGCAAGTCACGAAGAGTCTGCCTTCTGACTGTACCCATAACGTTTTCGAGTATTCCGTAGTTGGTATAAGCGCTTGCGTAATAGTATGGTCTACCAGCCCACGCTACGATCTGCTGTTATTTATATAGTCTTGTAAAAGGCTAGATGAGCTACGGAAAGGGAGAGAGAGAGGGGGGGGTCTAACTAAAAAGAGGTACAAGGAGGTAAACTATTGAGAGATCGTTTCTTCGAGAAACCGATACAAACGAATAGATCCATCTTCGTCCGAGACGCGTATCGGAACAGGATTCGTGAAGAGTAACTATACTATAACGCTCAATAAAAAGATTGAGAATTCAACCCCGGGTTTGCCGACCGGAGCGCTCACTGACCCCTGACGGCTCCGCCGAAGACTCGTCACGATAATGTTACAGCTCCGTTTCCTCGATCCATCGTTTCACGTTTTCACTTTATCGTGCTGGATCAATTTTTAGGATTATATTTTTACACTACGAGCATCCGAGTTCCCGGGTGTACCGAAGACTTGGTTCCGGCCTGGTACGTCAGCATGCACCACGGTGGCAGCACTGTGACAAGTCCGTTAACGAATTCCTGGATGACTCCGTGGTCGTGGCTGTTGCGGCTATAGTAACGTTTTGTAATTGACATATAGGTATATAGGTACGTAAGGGATACGCAGTACGAAAATTAGTCGAATCCTTTGTTCTTTACTTCTACGTACTAATTATTTTTCAACTCTGGCAATTACGCTATCTTTCGCGTACACTGTTACAACATTAGCCCCGTCAATGAACCCCCTGAAGGCTTTCGCGGATAAGACGCCACTATGCAAATTTAATGACTTTTTACTCAGTAGTCAACCTCCACGGCACGCGGACTCGCTCCTGTCAGGATTACTTTACTTAGGATACCTTCGGGACTGCTGGTATTCCTGGAAAGGATCTTACTTATTTTATTCCTATATTTGCCGAGTCTGCGTTCCTCGCTCGAGCGGGTATATAACCAGACGCTGCTTATTTACCGCGCTTATAATCGGAGCCGATGCGCGACATGTGGAAGTGCTGAAAAAATATTTCAATTTTGAAGGAGACCGTGCAATATCTCAAACCCCAATGTGTCCCAGTCATTATTTATTAAGTTCGCGTAAACATTCCAGCCATGCGAAATCTCGCGGTATATACCACAAACCTATAAACTACCGTGACTTATCCAAGGACCGATCATGCAATTCCACGCGGTGCCAAGAGCTTTCAATCCAGAATTTATAACCCGTCCTGTAGTACCGATAAGTTCTCGCGCCATTGATCAAAGTCCACGGGAGGGAAAGGGACAGTTGTAAAAAAAAAAAAATATGAACCACCGAACAAAAAATTAAAATCCACAATTATTCCGTGCCCACCTGACTCGTTTCAGAGAACGTGCCCTGGCCCCGCGACTGTACGCATTTCCGAGTCCGCACGTAGCGACGCTATAGCTGATCGGTAACATCGGCCCGAGTGTGTTCGACTATGAAATGAGCATCGTAAAGTGTAACCAAGCCGAGTGTTTACCGGTGATCACGGCGAGCACGCTCGTAAATATCACCGCGAGAGACTGTTAGGATAGATTTGTCTGGATTTGTAGCATCGTGGCTGCAGGGCGTAGATTCTCGCGACGAAATAAACTGCCCGGCGTGAAACCCTCGTAAACATCAGAGTCACGAGACTTCATTAGAAGTCAGCCAGTTGCGTACCGGAGTAGGAGCATAGAAAGAGGAAGCACAGGGTACCTGTGTCTCTACCATGCTAGGACGCTAAGACCTCAGGAGCCTAGACCGGAGACCAATAATTCATCAAACTGGAACAAGTCCAGAAGGATGATCGTGATTAGAAACGATGGTCCTGGACCATGCGAAGAAAACGATCCTAAACTGTGCATCGGGTCTTATCGCATGAAATCAACTGGCTGACCCGATAGCTATGAATGATGATACGAGACGGTAGAGCGCTTGGTCCATTTTGGTAGCGGACAAGACATTAGATATAGCGACGGCTACCAAACTTGTTTCCCTCAACCTGTTTCGAGAATTTGAACCGCTACGATCGCACGGATCGACGTTCCGGCAGGTTGTGGGAGCAAAGGACGTACCTCGAGAATAATTCCTGCGGTATGTTTAATGGAACGGTACCATGGGTTTTCTGGACAACCATTACTTTTTCATGGTCTCCGATAGAGTGTGACCTATCGGAGGTACAGCTGGCTTCATAAATATGAGAGTGGGGGGCTCCGTCTGTGGGAAGTATACTGCGATCCCGAGGGGGTGGCAAGGGCTGGTGAAGGCGATTCATTAGTCGAACAACACGGAAGTGTTCGCTGGGATGGTCACTTTTGTCCGTGTGTCGGTATAAATGCTCTTGGAGCAGGACTGGAGCTACGTGGCCTTAAGGCCCTTCACGATCCAAACTTGGAATCCTCGGAGCCGTACGTGAAGCTTATTATGCGCGCCAGGGGCCCCACTGTGAATCCGACTGTTATGTACCATTCGACATTTTTATACGGAATTCATTTACCCGAATCCCATTACATATATAATTCGAATTCAGATCCATTCCGTATGGGCCTTATGAAATGATAATGGACCCGGCTCCACGTTAACTTCGATACTTTACCTTACAGGCGTACAACGTACTGCTATGGAGTTTACCTTGTCTTTATAGAAGTATCATTTTTATCCACGTACTCGTATACCTTCTTCTTCTTCGTACATAAACATTGTGGGTATGAAGCCACTATGTAGCCTATTCCTGTGGGTATATGCTCGTACTTATTCTGACACCGAAAGAAAGGACGGGCAAGAAATAAGAAGCAAAGGAAATCCTCACGACATCCTCGAGCAACTCCTGCATTCCAGCGACTACCTAGGACCGGCTCGTACTCGGTCTAGACAAGATTTTGTATCCACCTACACGGCGCAACACGAGCGCACCACTCGGCGAGCCTAGGCTCGTTACCCGATCTCATGCTAATTATTCCTCCAGCATCTTTTCCATCTTCTTTATTCTTATCTAACATCCACCGAGACAGAGACTTTACGAACTTGTCGCAGCAGACGACCGCCCGCCCGCCCTTCGGAATGCCATTATAATTTATCGTCATAAGTGCGGCGGACCGCATGCCGCGCACTTTTATTACTTCCACTTCCCGCTTCGACCTCAGCGTATAGGTACACCTCGGGACGCTATTCATTCCGGCCTAGCAGAAGCTTCGAGCAGACCTTTCCCAGGAAGAGCCCGACTCCAAAACGGCTTCCCGGACTGACTATACCATATCGAAGCCCTTTCGGGAGACTTAGCCTGCAGCGTGACGAGTTGCAAGTCATTCGGCATTCCGGACGCGGGATTCAAGTTTTGCTCCCATCCTTTAAGTTCTTATTCCTTTTCTCGGTCCTCGTCTCCACCGTCTTCTCGAACGCGATTCGCTTACCAGGAAGATCCGATACCTTCCTCTGTCTCGAGAGACACACGTATTTTCGGTATTAGATTTATGGGCTAGTTCAGTACTCCAGGTTTTGTGGTACTTGGAATTAATGGATGATTGGTCCATCCTCCTTGTTTCTTGTATTAGAGTCTCTCTCTAGCGTCATTAGACCGGATCCAAAGGATGATCTCCACCGCTTCGAATTCAAGGCTCTAGAGATTTTTAACTATTTGGATACTTACTGATTACAGTGACGCTTCAGTTCACGCCGGATGCTGCTTCGGGTTCGGATGAAGTGGAGGGCGCCGCTTCCTAGGCTGTTGGAACGCTTCTCCAGGAGCTTCTCGGACGTGGTACGAGATGAGAACCACTGATCTTGCCGAAGACCACTTTGCAGCGTGTCCTCCATTTCGAATTGCGGCAAGATACCTTATTTTGAATGAATTTTCAAAAAAATCGGTAACGATTTTTACCCATACTTTCATAATCCACTAAAATCTTCTTCGACGATACTCACAACCGTCTCGTGATACTCCCATAGTTCTTTTAGACGCATGAAAATTCAGAGTTTTTCATAATTTTACCCTAGTCCAATTTTAATCTTCAATGTTACCCATGATGACTTGAAAAATCATAAATTACAAACTGACACTGAATCACGTTAAAATGTCAATCCGATCACCAATTCTTTTGAGTCTTCGATATTGATATTGTTTCTTATAAGGTGTACTGCTTCAGGGTATGGTCAGAGATTATGTAACACACACGAGTCCCACACGTGAATATATGGTCGGGGCCGACCGGTCTTGTACCGGTCGACTCTCAGGCCGAACCTTCCTTCGCTGGATGGTTAGCCTGCACCTTGCCTCGAGGTTTTAATGCAAACACTTCGTTTCCACGAGGCCCTTGACTCTTTCCCTCAACCGATTCTGCCTCCTCTCGCCGTTTCTGGATAACGAGCTCTTCAATTACCATGAAGAAAAGCCGATACTGCTTCCTCGACACGATCCGAATACTCTTTCGTCTACGTTTATTAAATTGCAACAGTACGTACACTCCTCGATACCGATCTGCACCTGAGACACAATTTTACACGGCATAATACAGATACCGATCTTTCTGTATTATTAAATCCACCATAAAAAAGTTTACAGTCCGATATTAAATCATCCAGAAGAACAAGAGGTCGGATATCCAATTTTACGGATTGGTACTTCCACCCGGAAATACTTGTTCAATGCAACCGGTCACGAAACGACGCTCGACTACTACTCCCTCTCACGACACAGTCATCTCGTAGACTTACTTTTTTTCCATTGCAAGAATCGCAAGCACGAACCAATTATCTCATACCGATCTCCTCCATTTTGTTTCGATCGCGGACCCTAGGCAATAACGTAGAGAGGATGAACCAGGTTCCTCGACGTCCAAATCGACGTATTTAAAATGCAATTTTTTTGCCTATTTTTACAAAAAAAAATCGGTATCACACACCAAGCACAAATCTTCCTCTCCGAACGTATAATGACGTTTTCACACGCGACTACAAACTGTTCTGAAAGGTTGAAGTCGCGCCGGGTAATAAAAGCACGTAGGGCCTGTACGGCGTGCCGAGAAGGACTGCCCGGTATGCTCCTCTCGACTCTCCTAACCGATCTCGGTTCGAGTTCCTCCGTTGGGTTTCTTGCTCGGTTCTCCTGTGGCGGCTGGCCCGGCCGGATACACCATGACTACGCCATGAACACGTTACGCCATAATAATAACAGGGAGAATAAGAGTGACCCTCGTCACAACAATATTGAATCGTCGTCCGTAACCGATACGAGTCGATCGGCAAGCCGTGTAGTAACTTCAGGTTAATCCAAATAGCGTGATATCTTATGCACCTGCGCGATTGCATGGTAATAATATAATACTGTATATCGTAGGCGCGCAAGCATTGCGTACGGACTATAATATACACGCGATATGAATATATATATATTCTACTGGTGTGTGCGAACTGGCATAAGAACCATTAGGCAAATAAAAAAAAATGTTAAGGACTAATTTAGCGAGGCTGGTTACCGGCCGTGTACGTTATTAGTCGACGATGAACTTCTTACAATTAGTAAAACACCTAATTGGTAGATCTGTCGCGTAAATGTTAATGAGTTAGCGAGAACTGTCTAATTGCAATTTTTATAAACTGAGACTAAGTGACTCCTGATTTAGTCCGGAGTTAGTACGCCGTGTGAATTTAAAATCCTGCCCGCTGTATATACGTACGTAATAAGCAGATACCAATGGTCTAACCGACTATATATTCGTAATTATAAATCGATGAGTATGCACTGTGAGTAGAGAACACGGACAATGGACTAGAGGTCTGCCCGGTTCATTAGCCGTTCAATTAAAAGAGAATAGCCGTCCACGCATTGGCTGCAGCTGTCAACGAGAAGTTCTGGCTGCAGCTACAAACCTTTCGTGACTCTATTTTCCACGAGGTCTTGCTTCGATCTCCTTGTCAATTAGTTGTACAAATCCCGCTCCCTCGGTGGGAACTCAATCTACGCTCGTAGGAACGTATTAGCCTGCTAATAACGGGTCGCGTAACTTGACCGAGTGCTAGAGAGAGATAGAGCATTTTTTTCGTGGGAGTTAATAGATTCGTTAGTGAGGCCATAGGTAGCTATCGTGAAAGTGACTGAGGAAAAAAAAATGGCGAAGAAAGTGTATATAATCAAAAAATAAAAATAAAGCTAGACAGAAAAAAAATCAAAAATTAAAAAAAAAAAGTGCCTCCGTTTCGACGAAAGCCAAGGCTACGAAGTACCGTAAGTTTGGCGCTGTAATAAATACACACCTAGGACACGATAAAGCGTAAATTACTTTTTATTTTCTTGCTTCTCGTCCGGGACCAAACGGACCATTATCTCTTGCCTGTAATTAGTCCCCTCTCGAGTCAAATGGGACAAGCCGCTTTAACGTAATCTATAATCTGAAAATTGGCAAAGGACTCTTTAACAGGTCCTTATCGGGCATCGATCTCCAATTGGATTTCCTGACGTGCTACAGCCTCCATACAGTGGACATACTGTTACTCCACGATCCCATTGAAACCCAAAGATATTCTTCGCCTCGCTAAGAATCCAACCTGGTACCGAGTTCAACCATACAGGTACTATAATACTTTAGACGGAGCTTCATGCCCAAGATAGATATAAGCTAAACTCACCTCCTCCGTCTTCGGTAACAATCTAAAGGAGGAGATTCTTTAGTTACCTAACCCGACCCAGCCCAACTCTCATTGGAGTGTTTGCGCCCGTACGTTGCCGTTAGCTCTCGAGTCCCTCAACGTGGAGGATGGTCCCTTGTCGACTTTTAACATTCAAAGACAAAGCTCCATCCTGTTCAAGGTACAGACTTCCCCCTCGGACTTCCACCTCTCGCTTCTACGCGCACGTCCCACACTCTGCCTCTCTTTCTGTCCTCGAGCAAGAGAGAGAGGGACAAGTTCCTCGAGGAGTAAAATAAAGAATCGAAAAGTCAAAAAGGTCCGCGTGAACGTCGAGAGAGTTTATTAAAATTTCGTCAAACGTGACTCTTCACGGCTCATAAAGCATCCTTCACACCGAGATTTCATCTTTATCTAGGCTGCCCACGGATTGACTTTTTATTTCATTGGGCGTACTGTAACGTATCGACTTACTCGACACGTGTCTCGGGGCAGTGCGCCTAACGCGCCTCACGAAATTGACAGAATCAAAGACGCGTGTCTCCACGCCTGCGCCGAGTCTTCACGTTCGACGAACTCGCGTGCCATGATCGATGGTAGCGTGGCACGCATGGGCACGCATGGGCACGCATGGGCAGGACCGTACGGCTTACTATGCTAATTAGACGTCTAATCAGCCCTTCGCTCATTCACGGGATGGTAACAAGCGTAATTGTTTCGAGCGGCCAGGTCCGGCCAAATTGAAATATTATTAACATCTATCATGACTGCGATGAGATTGCGATATTACGCGGATGCTGAGTGTACGCCATGATGATTTATTGAGGGTTGGTTCTCGTGAGTTATTGTAGACTCTATTGGGATCTATGGTGTTATTCAATAAACAGGCCAACAGTCGCTCTTACGGTTATCGTATGATGAATAAGTGATAAGGTGCTGATAATATATTTTTAATGATAAGCTATAACGTTTTTACCTTTATGCCATTTCTAACCTCCAACGACGAACCCTGGGTAGTCGGGACGAATGGAGATTCTTACGTAACACGTGGAAGCGAACCCTGGTTACTCTTGGCTGTATTCGGAGTAGCTGCAGGTAAGGTTAGGTTAATAAACGTAACGTGACGCCAGGAAGTATGCAACGTTGCCGGCGCAGCCACCCCCCGACGTTAAAGCGGAGGCTGCACGAGCAGCTTCGGGTCGAACGAGCGGGGGCGACAGGGTATAAGAATGCTAAACTATACAAGGTGTCGCTTTACACGATTCTATATTAATCTGTTCGTGCGTGTAATTTAAATCAATTTCATTGGGTTTTATCACAGCCCGCGCGTACAATAGAAACTTCAGTTTTTTACGATCAGCTGTTCGGATCGAGTCAAAAAGCAACTTTTTTGTTTCCAATGACTTTTATTTGCATGAGATTCAATTTAGCGAACAAGACCTGCGCTGTTATCTTAACTCTATGAGACTGTTATGATAAATCTTGTCTGATGGACTTCATTGATTTCTATATATGTAAATCAAGGAAATAATATTTGAGTCGACCGGCAGTACCTACTAGGCGCTTTGGTTAGATCACATGTGAATTGGGAGAATCGCACGTGCTGTCCTGTTCAAGCGAAATTTGGCTAGAATGACTATTGCACACAAGCAGGAAATGCATACACTGTAAATTGCTCCGAAAATGTGGTTTTATTTTTTTTACTTGACTACTGGTCATGGTTATGTGAAATATATATGCTGGTTTACATCTAGTAACCGCAGGATTGGGTGGATTTTTTTTTTAATTTTACCAAACGACTTCCTCGGGGTACTATCCGTACGCCAGCACACGTGGTTGTACGATTGTTGGCTGGTTTGAAAATTTAGCTCGGTCGCGTTGCCGAAACGGGACCGGTTCTCCGAGAGATGGACGATGTAACGGATCGAAGAGCACATCGAAGAAACGACTTGTACAAGAAAGGGGTCCACTTCAACGAGTAGTAGATGTTCCATGAAGCTTCGTATCTCGACGACGATACGCTCGATTTTATCAGGACACCCTGTAGCGAAGTAGGGTCCCCTCGGCTGGAGTGCCGAGTGTGCTCGTACGGTCTTAATGCTTGTTGCAATCCCGTGTAAGCGAATTCATACGCGGAGAGAACAGCGAACACGTACGCGACGAGCATCGTGCGGCTTAAGTCCGCATTTTCAACTCGAGCGAATTGCCTCCGCGATGTGGCAACGGAGGAAGAAAAATAATTTCGTTTAAGCGTACATTTGAAAAAAAAGAAAAAAAAGTAAGAAGAAGCCACACGAAAGTGAGAATCGTGATTTTTTTTAATATAATTTTTTTTCAACTGGATAGTAAAACGATCGGGTGGATCTGGTGGATCTTACGATTCTCCAGATTAGCATACCGGTCTCGGTAGTTGCGTAAGAGAACGATCGTTCGAAACGGAATGGAAACAGGCATTGGTGGAGAAGACGGTAAGAAGTCGAATAAGGGGAGCCCTGAAAGATGGCCACCCACGGTAACCGAACGAAAAGAAAAAAAAAAGAGAAAAAGTAAGAATCGACGTAAAGAATCGAACGCACCTCTTTCGAAAAATAATTTACGAACGTTAACCGATCGTCTTATACGAAGTTAGCCGAGTACGCCCGTACGTACTCGTATGTACATACTTCAAGTCCGCGAGCCGAACAAAGAGCCACCCTTACGTAAAAAGGAGAAACAAAAGAAGCGTATAAAAAAAAAGTGAAACAAAGCACGAGGCGATTGCATAATGCAAGGCGGGTCCATCGCTCAGCTAGTTTATCGGCCTGTCAGCCATATAGCCGGTTGACAGATGTTGTAAGGCCCCGGGGCACACACAACGCGCGACACATCGCCGTACCCGCAACGAACTCGACTTTCCTCGAAGAAGTCGCGTGCGCGTCCCCAAGCGCTTTTCATCGGAAGGACAGACGGCCGCGACACGTATCTTACCTTTAATGCTCGACCATAGCCTCTTTGTCGCTTAGATTTATGCGACCTTAAGGTCCCGAGATCTTGGACGCGCGTCAGGCCCCGTAAACGTATCGGCAGATCGCGGCATTTCCGGGCACGTGAATCAAGCGAACGCGTCCGAGCGACTTTGCTTTATGTGAATCGACAGAAAAGTAATACCCGTGCACGTGCGCTTCCACGAAATAAAACTCTATAAAACAGTCGGTCGCCATTGTGGTGTTTACGTCGTTACTTCGTCTCGATTCGTTAATGCACGTCTATACCTAAAATCCTTAAGGAAATCGAGCGAACGTTATTAAGTGTGATACAGCCATAACCCGAGGCCACCCAGCTAGTAGCAACGAAGCTGAGATTTTATCAAGCTTCACCCACACGGCAAACTCGTACGCC